CCCTGAGCAAACTTCAAGGCCTTATGAGGACCACTAAAAGTGGTCTCAAAGGTAAATCTGTTGTAATCACTCCTACTGCTAATGCCCCCGTTATGGAAATTGGGCAATGTGAGGGGAAGAAGAGGAAGGCTCCTTCTAAGAGCCGCAAGGGAAAGTCTTTTGATGGATCCTTTTCAAGTGGAACCAAAGGAGGTTCTGCTACTCCCTCGACCATCCTAAAAGAAGAAGAGTGTTTTTATTGCCATGAAAAAGGGCACTGGAAGCGAAGTTGCCCCAAGTACTTGCAGGATGTTAAGGATGGGAATGTTAAACCCACCCATGCATGTATTTATACTATTCTATCTAAAAATTCATCCCATACTAACTCTTGGGTGCTTGACACATGTTATGGATTTCACATTTGTTCTGATGTGTAGGGCCTAAAAAGAAGTAAGGATGTGGAGCACGGGAAGATAAACTTGATCATGGAGAATAGGAAGGTTTCACCTATCACCGAGATTGGAGTTTACACTTTATTGATTAGCAGTGGGTTATAAATAGATTTTGAATAATTATTGCTACTCGTTTGAGTTTGCTTCCGATCATGCTTAGATGACTCGTAATCGCTACATTCCCATGGTTGAGCGTGAGAGATTCGCTCAAGAGTTTTTGGACCTGAGACAGGGTACAGAGTTGGTGGTGAAGATCACTCGGATGTTTACTAAGAGGGCGATGTTTTGCCTGGAGTTTGCTTTCGAGCAGGTTCAGATGACTCATTATCTAAGTATGCTCAAGACTGACATTTGATAGTTCGTTGCTGCTTAGCATTGTGATACTTACTGGAGTTACAGGAGGCCGCTAAGTGGCATGAGTTGGAGATTGAGCTTCAGATGAGGGAGCAGAGGCAGGCCCCGACACAGTCGCAGCTTGCGCCAAAGCGGTCTAAGACTGCTGATACTGGATCTGTCGGAAGGGCCACACTTGTGGAAAGTATGACAAGATGCATGATGGGGTTTATCAAACTTCTTCAGGGTGCCACTAGTGTGGCAAGCATGGCCACATTGCTAGGGATTGTAGGCAGCATACTCCAGCTTTTGGTGTCAGACTTTGTTACCATTATGAGCAGGTGAGCCATATGAAGGCATAGTGTCCCCTGCTAGCTGCCATATTGGCGCATGCTCCAACGCCGGCTACCTTGAGGATTAATGGCGGGGGTCAGGGTAGAGCAGAGCCCCCGAGGGCTCGGGGACGTGCCTTCTAGCTTATGGCTGAGGAGGCCCGGACAATACCGGATGTGGTGGCTGGTATGTTTCTATTCCTTATCTTATTAATTATGTTTATTGTATGCTCATATGTTTGTACCTATGTTAGGTAGGTACGTTTTTAGTGAACTCCTTGTCTGCTCTTGTATTGTTTGAATCGGGGGCGAGTCGGTCATTTGTCTCTCGATTGTTTAGTAGGGAGTTCAGTTTGCATTTAGGAGAGCTAGAGTGTCCGTTGCGAGTCTCCATCGCCAACAAACACGGGGTTTCTGATTCATCAGTTTATCGGGGATGTGTTTTAGATATATTCAGGGTGTCTTTTTCGATTGACCTGATTCTGATTTCGATGGGGGATGTTTACGTTATAGTGGTTATGGACTGGCTGAGTCGTTTCGGTGCCATGATCGATTGCGAGGGTCAGCGAGCGATAGTTCGAACCCCAAGTGGGGGAGAACTGGTTATCTATGGCGAGGGCACCAGGTTGGGTTCAAGGTTTTGTTCAGCCGCCCGGGATCGACAGTGTATTCAACACGGGTGTGTGGGTTATTTGGCATACGTAGTGGATACACAAGTCAAGGATTAGGTATCGATTTCCGATGTTCTGGTTGTTAGAGATTTCACTGTTGTGTTTCCGGAGGAGTTACCCGGAGTGCCTCCTGAGAGGCAGGTTGAGTTTAGGATCGACCTTGTGCTAGGTGTTACTCCTATTGCCAAAGCGCCATACTGATTAGCACCGCTGGAGATGTAAGAGCTGTCATCTCAGCTGCAGGAGTTGCTGGGCAGTTCATTCGTTTGAGTAGTTCCCCGTGGGGAGCACCGATTCTCTTCGTTAGGAAGAAAGATAGTTTACACCAGATGTGCATTGACTACCGGGAGCTGAACAAGTTGACGATGAAGAATCGTTATCCCCTCCCACTGATAGATGACCTCTTCGATCAATTACAGAGAGCATCTTGGTTTTCCAATATAGATTTGAGGTTCGGGTATGTTAGAAGTATGTTACCAAAATCCAAAAGCTTCAAACGACACTTTATTATCAGGATCCTTGTTCACGTGTAGCATGTATTCAATTACATTATGCAAATGTAGTTGTACAAAATGAAATCAGATGGACCACTATGAGAGAAATAAAGAAAGGAAATCATAAATATGGTTTTGTTAAAATCTATTCTACATTCATCGTTTTTAGTTCCTAATATATGTTGTAACCCTCATACATAGGCGTAATTTTCATTAAGCCAACCTCTATTATTGTAACATCATCATCACCATGTAAAATATTGATCCAACCTCTATAACAACATTATCATTGTCGGGAAAGTGAATTATTATGGTAATTATGTCCGTTTAAAAACATCATCCAAGTAAGGTCTTTGTACAAAAAACACAAACAAAATATATATTTTGTTCAAATGTAACCTTACGGTAACCAACATATACCGGTAAAAAATAGTTAAGGGAAAATAAATAAGAGAAAATGACTATAAGAGGGTAACTATGTTTCAATTTTTTTCAAAAACATCATGTAAGTTGGATTGTTTAAAAAGCACCATTTCAGTAAGTTTTTGTACAAAAAAACACCAACAAACTATACATTTTGTTCAAATGTTACCCACTGGCTCTTGCAATTAAAGAATGACTTGACATGATTATTGGTGAAATGGAATAATAATTGGTGGCATGACATTAATTTATATATTTATCATTTATAAATCGATTCAGGGCTTCTTTATGAACAACCAACTTAATTTTTGAAAACAAAGGAATAAATGTCCATAAGTAGCTCTAGAATTTATGATACTAGAATGTGCATAACAATTTGCAATCCACTCCGGACCCAATTGAGTCATGATATGTAGCTAGGCAAGATGCAAACAAAAATGAGATTTCATCATATTACAATCTGGCATAAATATTCATCAAAACATTGTTATAGTCACACTACAAATTGGTATACATATTTAAACGAGGTTCAAAATTCTAAACGTTTGAACTATTTTTTTCTATGATTATTGTCCTTTGTAGTAATTTTAATTATGAGTTCCTATGCGAAGATATAAACATGATTTGATAGACTCAAAAGTGTAAAGATCTTATACAAGTAGAAAATAAGTTTTTTTAATCCGTAAATAAATAAATAACATGGAAATAAATATATCTAATCATACAATCTTATATAATTTGTTTGTACTTCTATCACTCTGTGGTGAATGAATGTTGTTCATATTTTATTTCATACTCGTTTAGCGTTCTTGGTTTGCTTATGTAGTAAAAATGTGAATATGACGGACACAAAGGACAAAGGAGGTGAAGAAAAGGTGAAAATTGTTTTGATTTTGATTTTAACTATTTTGTATTGAGTTTGAATTTGATTTTTGACTTGTGGTTGAAAATATTTGATTATATGGTTTCTTAGATAAAGACAAAGAAGATAAAGGAATGAAACCATGATGATGACATTTATACAAAACCAAAACTTAGAATCAAATTTTGAAAAAATGATATACTACAGGGACCAAATTTGTAATTCACTATTAACTAAATACGTCAAACACATGTAAAGACAAAGAAGATAAAGGAATGAAACCATGACATTTATACAAAACCAAAACTTAGAATCAAATTTGGAAAAAATATATACTACAGGGACCAAATTTGTAATTCACTATTAAGTCAAACACATGTAAACCATTCACTGTTTTGTTAAAATACTTGTGAAAATTTCATTGTTTTCAAATGATGGGGTTTTAGCCCGTGTTTAAACTACCTTACACCTATCTGACAAAATAAAAAAATAGAAGGGTTTAAATGTAAAAAACAGAAAGATTGTGGTGCTGAGTGTCTTGTACGGAACTACTATTTTTTTCTCGGGGCAAAAAGCATCTTTCACGCCAGCGAACGTTGGCCGGACATTCCATTAGAATTTGTGCTTCTTATTTACTCAAGCCTATCAATTTATTTACATCTTTGCCACTCATACTTTCCTTTGTTTATGCAGTTATAGCCCTCCAAGTTCTGAATAGTTACCTATAAGTCCAATTCTTTAAAACTTAAACATGTAAACATAGAGAAGTAATCAATAATTACATATTTTTATTAAGAAATAATAAAATACTTAATTCTAAGAACAAAAAAAACATATAGTTTCATTTCTTAGTATGCTCAATTTTTATAAATCATTATACGATTGAACTAGTTATCAATCTTAGTTTGTAATTACAAATTCAATACATTATATGATTTACACTTTTTGTGTTTTATCTCTAATTTTCATAATTTAAAAAGCCAAAATCGAATAAAACATCATGAAAAATGTCCATCTGGTAGATTGAAAATTTTATTACCTGATTTGTTGTCGTTAAAATTTATATTATATTTTATAAGAAACCGATAAATATTTTTTTTTCTCATATTCACTTGTATAAAAATACACCTTTTTAAAAAAAATCAAAGTTTTTTTTTTTATCTTTTATTACTAATTATTTGAAAAATATTATTTAAATGCCACGTAAAAAACAATTAATTCCCCCAACTAAATTTATACGAACTGTAAAAACATTTATTGTGAGTTAAAAACTACACCTTTTCAAATAATTTAGAATTTAAAGAGAGTGAGTGGTTTCAAAATTTGAATTTTTGACACAAGGTTGAAAAGGGTAAATCCGTAAATAAAAGGAAATACAGAGCTTAAAGTGTAGCCGGCTAATCCAAAAATGGCTGTATAATGTCTGATTTTTGAGCCGAGAGCCGCTTCGTGGACTGGACTTCCATAAACTCGCCGCTCGAGCTTGACCAGACGACAGAGAAGTCTAGAGAGAGAGAAGGTTGTAGAGCGAGAGAGCAAGAAACCCCACAACATACACATTGCTTTGCTGTGTGTATAATAATATATACAAATTGTATTACCCGATAAATATATATATACATATAGATACAAAATTACTGCGTCATTTCTGTGATAGAGAGAAACTATTCCAAAAAAGTTCACCTTTGCATCATCATCATCATCGTCGTCATAATCTCTGTTGAATACTCTTGGGTTTCTTCTTTATCATCGTCTTATTATTACCGATCTGAGTCACCGAGCGGTGTGTGGTTTCTCCGACTCGTTCTTCTCTTTATTGATGAGAAGGAGATCGATTGGGCTTAGAAGTCATCATTAATGGTATGTTAATCTTGTTTTTGGTGAAGTAGCTCAATGGTTATTGGTGGTATTTGCTTGAATCTTTGTTTTCAAGGTCAAATCTATTCAACGAAGAGTCCACATGTTTGAATCTTTGTTTTGTTCGTTATTAGCTGCTTATGCTTATTGATGCTACATGTTTCTTCCATATTTAAGCTAGGGGATTATGTTTTTTCTGTGATTATATCATCCATATGTGTATCGGTGTATAATCTATTTGCGTTATCCGGCTCAATCAGCTCAAATTTTTTTATCGATTGAGCTCAGATTCATGAACATACCTTGAGGAACAGGGAAGGGTATTGGTGTAAGTTAGTTTTTTCGCTGTTATTTGTAGTTGACGTTTTAGAGCTTCGATTGAGGGGTTAATTGAGCAGAATCCGCTAGATACCAGAAACGTGAAGTAGCAAGCTTTGATAAATTTGAGATGAAGCCAATCTAGGGTTTTGTCAGACTCATGAACTTTTATGTGTTATCTGCACCATTTCTAAGCAACCACATGTTTTGATGCTTATTTGAACTGGAAACCAACTTCATATACAAACTTTAAACCCATTTTTCCCAAATACTACCTTCGATATATCAATGTATAATCATCATCTTCTCTTAGAAGACTTCACATAACTTGATAGTGTATATATTCACCTATTCAATAGCTTTAATGGTGTAGCTTTGAACAACTAGTCATTATTGTGATTAGTGTATGTTAGTTTGACTTGCAACTTATTCTTTCCCCATTGATGATAAGAAAAAAATCAACGTGTCATAGTGAGTACAAAATATATTGTCTACCCAATTAGTTAGAAACTTGATATATACAACAAAAAGCACTTAGGAAACTTAGGTTACATAACTTATTATTCCTTCAAAGTCCAATGTATATAATAATACATACATTGTTCAAAGACTAAGTGAACCATTTCAACTTTCTAGAGCTTTTTCTCTTTATGTTTCTAATGGAATGAAGTTTTTTTTTTTCACAGGCTGCTCCAGTTAATATTATTGTAGGGTCACACGTTTGGGTTGAAGATCCTGCTTTAGCATGGATTGATGGGGAAGTGACCCGAGTTAATGGGCAAGAGCTTCATGTACATACCACAAAAGGGAAAACAGTGAGTATTTTAATGTTTAATCATACATTTTATCAAAGACACCAATATCTATTTCACAAAATAATAAACTTATTCAACTACAGATTGTTACAAATGTCTCTAAAGTATTCCCTAAAGACACTGAAGCTCCACCTGGAGGTGTAGATGACATGACACGGCTTTCATATTTACATGAACCAGGAGTGTTACAAAATCTTGCAGCCAGATATGAACTTAATGAAATTTATGTAAGAATTAAGATGTCACATTTCATCTTTTTTTAAGCTTATATCAAAAGAAAACTGATATAAACATTTTCATTTTTGTAGACATATACTGGAAACATTCTAATTGCTATAAATCCATTTCAAAGATTACCTCATTTATATGACACACACATGATGGAACAATATAAAGGAGCAGGATTTGGAGAACTTAGTCCCCATGTTTTTGCAGTAGCTGATGTTGCATATAGGTATATAAATTATATACTAATATAATACATTAATACATGAACATTCTATTTTCTTTTTTTTCTTTTTTTATAATCTAGTTTGTTTTATGTATAGGGCTATGATGAATGAAGGAAAAAGCAATTCGATATTGGTCAGTGGAGAATCTGGTGCTGGTAAAACTGAAACAACAAAGATGCTGATGAGATATCTTGCACATTTAGGTGGTAGATCTGGAGTTGAAGGAAGAACAGTTGAACAACAAGTCCTTGAAGTAAGAAAAATTTACCTTTTTGCCACTGACATTCGAATGTCTTGAATACATGTTTACAAAATACATATTTTCCAGTCAAATCCAGTGCTTGAAGCATTTGGAAATGCGAAAACTGTGAGGAACAACAACTCTAGTCGATTTGGTAAATTTGTAGAGATACAGTTTGATAAAAGTGGAAGAATATCAGGGGCAGCTATTAGAACATATCTTCTAGAAAGATCTCGTGTTTGTCAGATATCAGATCCTGAAAGAAACTACCATTGTTTCTATCTTCTTTGTGCTGCACCACCTGAGGTAGATCTTATTTTTATAATTTTGTCTAATAATAAGTAAATAATGTTATAGATTTGTTATCACTTCCAATATCATTGCATTAATTTGCAGGATAGAGAGAAGTTTAAATTGGAAAGTCCACAGTCATATCATTATTTAAACCAGTCAAAATCATATGAACTTGAAGGTGTAAGTGATGCCCATGAGTATCTTGCTACAAGAAGGGCAATGGACATTGTTGGAATTAGTGAAGAAGAACAAGATGCAATTTTTAGGGTTGTAGCTGCAATTCTTCACCTTGGTAATGTCAATTTTGCAAAGGGAAAGGAGATTGATTCTTCTGTGCTTAAAGATGAGAAATCTAGGTTTCATCTCAATGTCACAGCTGAGTTGCTTATGTGAGTTTTATTCTCTCTCTATATATTATTAATTATTAATATTAATCTTATTATATTATATAAATAATAGTGATAATTCAATATCTGAATAGGTGTGATGCTAAGAGCTTAGAGGATGCATTGATTAAGCGTGTAATGGTGACACCAGAAGAAGTGATTACAAGAACTCTTGACCCTGAAGCTGCATTGGGTAGTAGGGATGCTTTAGCAAAAACAGTCTACTCTCGTTTGTTTGACTGGTGACAAAAAACTTTGACCAGTTTCAAAATATGAATTTCTTTTTTATTTTTCAAGAATCTAACTTTTATCTTTACATCTTTTAGGATTGTGGAGAAAATAAACAATTCAATTGGGCAGGATCCGAATTCAAAGTCACTAATCGGTGTTCTTGATATATACGGATTCGAGAGTTTTAAACACAACAGGTATTGTGTTACAAATTTAGCATCATTTTAAATGGTATAACTTATAATGCTGATAACGAAACGTCTGTTTAATATAGTTTTGAGCAGTTTTGCATCAATTTCACAAATGAAAAACTCCAACAACATTTTAACCAGGTTAGGTTTTTATGTTTTTGGCAATTATTCATCAGTTAATGGGATTTACATTTACTGATTATTTGTCAAACTCTTTTGTTATTGTAGCACGTGTTTAAAATGGAACAAGAGGAGTACACAAAGGAAGCGATAAATTGGAGCTACATAGAGTTTGTTGACAACCAAGATGTTTTGGATCTTATTGAGAAGGTGTTGACTTTTGACTAATCTGTTTGACTAATCTTTCTTTTGTACTTTCCATTAATGGAAACTAATAGTAATACATTTCATTACAGAAACCTGGAGGAATCATCTCGCTTCTTGATGAAGCCTGGTATGATTAATTGATTATCACATTTCAGATTCATTTTTAAGGCAAAAGATTTTAAGAAAAAATGATTTATGTTTATATTTACTTGATGCAGCATGTTCCCGAAGTCAACTCATGAAACTTTTGCTCAGAAGTTATACCAAACATTTCCAAAACACAAACGTTTCATAAAACCGAAACTTTCACGCACTAGTTTTACAATAGCTCATTATGCTGGAGAAGTGAATTATTTAGCTGATCAATTTCTAGACAAAAACAAAGATTATGTGGTGGCAGAGCATCAAGATTTATTAACAGCCTCAAAGTGTCCTTTTGTTGTTGGTTTATTTCCTCCACTTCCTGTTGAATCTTCCAAATCTTCCAAATTTTCCTCCATTGGGTCCCGCTTTAAGGTAATACTTTTGAATTTAAATTTTATCTATATAAATGAAAAAGTGTTATTTGTTACATCAATCTTGCTTTTTTAATTGCAGTTGCAACTTCAATCTTTGATGGAAACCTTGAGTACAACAGAGCCTCATTACATAAGATGTGTGAAGCCAAACAATGTTCTCAAGCCTGCAATTTTTGAGAATCTAAACATTATTCAACAATTAAGATGTGGTGTAAGTATTGCGAAAAAAGATTATCGATTTCTCTTTTTTCTCAAATCTTTATTCCTAAAAATTGTATCTTTTAATATAGGGTGTTCTAGAAGCAATCAGAATCAGTTGTGCTGGTTATCCCACCAGAAGAACATTTGATGAGTTTCTTCTTCGTTTTGGTGTTCTTTATCCAGATGTTCTTGATGGAAAGTATGATTCACTTCTTTTCTTTTTCTACTTTCTAATTTCCAATAATTTCTTTCATCTAATCATAATGCTTTTTTTATTTATTGTAGATATGATGAGAAGGTTGCATGTGAGGTGCTTCTTGATAAAATGGGATTGAAAGGCTACCAGGTAATCTTGAAATCTTTGTAAAAGCTTCTAGATACTTTTACAAGATTTCTCATTGTAACCATTATGTTACAGATTGGGAAGACAAAGGTGTTTCTAAGAGCTGGACAGATGGCAGAACTTGATGCAAGGAGAGCAGAGGTTCTTGGAAATGCTGCTAGAATCATTCAAAGACAAATGCGTACTTATATTGCACGTAAAGAGTATATCTCAATACGAAAAGCAGCTATCCAGTTACAGGCTTGCTGGAGAGGTATTTTATTTTATAGCAAATCTTTATAAAAAATACTCACTTTTGCCTTTTGTTTACGAAAAATTGATTCCTTTTTTATTATGTAATCAGGTTTATCAGCTTGCAAGCAGTTTGAGCAGTTGAGAAGGCAAGCAGCAGCAGTTAAGATTCAGAAGAACTTCAGGTGTTTTGTTGCTAGTAAATCATATCAAACACTTAGGGTTTCTGCAATCACTTTGCAAACTGGTTTGAGAGCAATGACTGCTAGAAACGAGTTTAGATACCGAAAACAAACTAAAGCTGCAATTTTCATTCAGGTACTTTGGGTTAATGTATCTTAATTAAATAAATTTTCATATATTATAATATAAATACGGGTTATGAATCAATTTTATGATGGAATTCAGGCTTACTATCGTTACTATAGAGCATACTCTTACTACAAGAGTCTCCAAAAGGCTGCAATTGTTACTCAATGTGGTTGGAGGCGAAGAGTTGCTAGAAAAGAGCTTCGATCACTCAAAATGGTATATCTCATTATTTTATAAAAAAAAAAAAAAACCCGAAGTTTCTTTTGTTAATAAATTTGTCAAATGTTCAGGCTGCAAGGGAGACAGGGGCTCTGAAAGAGGCGAAGGACAAACTAGAGAAACGTGTGGAGGAACTTACATGGCGTTTGCAGCTGGAGAAGCGATTAAGGGTAATTTCGTAATTTTACTTAAAAACGATCCTTAATGATGTTTTTCATCAATGGTTTTGACTCTTTTTTCACAGAGTGAATTGGAAGAGACAAAAGCACAAGAAGCTGCTAAGTTGCAGGAAGCTCTACGTGTGATGCAAATCCAAATTGATGAAGCAAATGCTAAAGTGATTAAAGAACGTGAAGCTGCAAGAAAAGCCATTGAAGAAGCTCCTCCAGTTGTTAAGGAGACTCCGGTTATTATTCAGGATACTGAAAAGGTTGACTCGTTGACCGCTGAGGTGGAAAGTTTGAAGGTAATGAAAAAACTTTGATCAAGTCATGGTTTTTGTGATGAAAAAGGGTTTTTAAATATTTGTATCTTTATCTTATTGCAGTCTTTGTTGCTGAATCAAAAACAAGAGACAGAAGAGGCTAAAAAGTCTTTGATAGAAGCTGATGCCAAAAATGCAGATTTATTGAAGAAATTCGAAGAAGCTGAAAAAAGAGCATATCAGCTTCAAGAATCTACTCAAAGGTGAGTAGAAGTTTGTAATTTATATAAAAAGATAAAAAGTTTTAAATTTTTTAATTTTTTGGGTGTGTAGGCTTGAAGAAAAGCTCTCAAATATGGAATCTGAGAATCAAGTACTTCGCCAGCAAGCACTCACCATGTCACCTACCGGAAAGTCCATGTCAGCAAGGCCAAGAACCATGATTATCCAGGTACCCCACAAAAAAATTTTAATTTTTTTTTTTCTCATGGATATTAATTATTAGTTTTTCTTTTCAGAGAACACCTGAAAATGGGAACATTCATAATGGAGAATCAAGGATTACTACACCTGTAAGAATAAACTCCATAAATATTTTCAAGATGCAAAAATTTAAATATTTATTATTATTACGTGTAGGATACGGCACTTGCATTATCAAATTCAAGAGAGCCAGAGTCTGAAGAGAAACCACAAAAGTCTCTTAATGAAAAACAACAAGTAAGCAAAGCGATTACGATTTATGAAAATTAAAAGATCGTTTTTGTAGTTTTTTTTTTTAATTCATTACATAATGTGTGTGATTCAGGAGAATCAAGATCTACTTATCAAATGCATCACACAAGATCTAGGATTCTCAAGTGGGAAACCAGTTGCTGCATGTTTAATCTACAAAAGCTTACTCCATTGGAGATCATTTGAAGTTGAAAGAACCACTGTCTTTGACCGAATCATCCAAACCATTGCTTCAGCTATAGAGGTAAGTTTCACATAACAACTTCAAACATTATATGATGATTTCAAAATTCAAATTAGGGTTCTTGAAAATCTTGATCCTGTGTGATATGATGCAGGTCCACGATAGTAACGATGTGCTAGGTTACTGGCTATGTAACACATCCACATTGTTAACACTTCTTCAACACACCCTCAAAGCAAGTGGGGCTGCAAGTATGACCCCACAAAGGCGTAGGACATCATCCGCTTCACTTTTTGGAAGAATGTCACAAGTATGTAAATGACAATTTTACCCTTGTATTATTTTTCAATTTTTTTTCACTAATTAAAATTTTATAAACTTCAGGGACTACGCGCATCTCCACAAACCACTGGGCTTTCGTTTTTGAACGGTCGGGTTCTTGGTAAGCTGGATGACTTGCGCCAGGTGGAAGCAAAATATCCGGCTTTGTTATTTAAACAGCAACTCACTGCTTTCCTTGAAAAGATATATGGAATGATACGTGATAATTTGAAAAAAGAAATATCTCCATTGCTTGGATTATGTATCCAGGTAATTTTTTTATTTTTTTGTTTATGATTAAATTTGGTGTAAAAAAATTCAGATAGGTTTTGTCTAAATGTGTAGGCTCCAAGGACATCACGTGCAAGTTTAGTTAAAGGGAGGTCACAAGCTAATGCAGTTGCTCAACAAGCATTGATTGCTCATTGGCAGAGTATTGTTAAAAGCCTTGATAGTTATTTGAAGACAATGAAAGCTAACTTTGTAAGTTTTATAATCTTTTAAACTGATTCTTTTATAAAAAAATTATAAATTACTCGACTGTTTATGGATTTTTACTTTTTTAGGTACCTCCGTTTTTGGTGCGCAAAGTATTCACACAGATATTCTCGTTCATTAACGTTCAGCTATTCAACAGGTAAATTGCATAAAATATGTTTACATTGTATATCAGGTATATATTTTTTTATTTATAAAAGTGCTGATGATTATATATTTTTTTGGTGGAAGTCTTTTGTTGAGACGTGAGTGCTGCTCGTTTAGTAATGGTGAATATGTGAAGTCAGGATTGGCTGAATTAGAACAATGGTGTTGTTATGCAACTGAGGAAGTAAGAACTTTTTATATCTTTATATATTTAAAAAAAAAAAAAATCTTGAATTTTGTACTAATTAATATTTGGTTCATTTACAGTATGCGGGGACCGCATGGGATGAGTTGAAGCATATCAGACAAGCAGTTGGATTCTTGGTTATACATCAAAAGCCCAAGAAGACTTTGAATGAAATTACCAATGAACTTTGTCCTGTAAGCAATTTTTTTTTTTTTTTTAATAATAATAAATATTTTAATTCCGTTTTTCGCTTTTGTTATATTCAAGATTGTGAATATATATGTTATTTATGCAGGTGCTTAGCATACAACAGCTATACAGAATCAGCACCATGTATTGGGATGACAAATACGGGACCCACAGTGTTTCATCAGAAGTAAGTTACTACCTACATAACAAATATGATAAAAAAAACTTAAATCCTAAGGGCGTTTTCGTAATTAGGTCATTTCAAATATGAGAGTCATGATGACAGAGGACTCAAACAACGCAGTTAGCAGCTCGTTCTTGTTAGATGACGACTCCAGGTATATATCTCAAAACTTGTAAAAACTTTTCAGGGGCAAAATCGTCTAAAATGGGGATATATTTATTTGTGTATGATGCAGCATACCATTCTCTGTGGATGACATCTCAAAGTCTATGCCACAAGTAGACATGGGGGAGATTGAACCTCCACCTTTGATACGTGAAAATTCAGGTTTTGTGTTTTTACACCAAAGGGCAGAATGATTGATGTCTGAAGAGTATAGGATATCTCTATTCAGACATGTGTATACAGAATTACAGTCCATCTTTTTTTTTTTTTTTTTTTTTTGGTGTGTTGATACTATTTTTTTGTTGTAATTCCCGGGCAGTTTGGGTTTTTTATTATTAGTGTCTGGGGTCCAATTTATTTTGTTGGCTTCCTTTGAGCCCTTTTGGGTGGGGTTAAATTAAAGGGGGAATTTATTGATTTTTAGATGATATGGCAAATTGGCAATGTTGCCAAAAGTGTGTTTTGAATGGGAGGGTGGATTAGGGTTTTTATAGTTGCAAATTGTTGGGTTACAATTTGTGGTAGTGGTAAGGTAAGAAAGGAAAACTGTATAGTTGCTTTATGTAAATCAGTATATGACATGTCACCTTCCCTAAAACATCTCTTTTGTGTTACTTTTTTATGTGGTTGTTTTTGTGTACTAGTGAAAATTTATAGAAAAGTATTCTATAATTCTGTTGATAATCATTGTGTTATGTATATATGCATTCATTATAAGTAACTATTGATGAGTCATCATATTCCATGGGCGAATCTTGACTTCTATGGAACTATGATTACAAAATTTCCCATTTTTCCTTTTAAGTATTCGTGATTGGTGTGGTAATGGCAAAACACATGTTTTCATCATACATCTTTAGAAAAGCACCTAACACCATTCTTGTCCTTAAAGAGGCTAAAATGTTGAGTTTCCGAAATATTTTAAATACCGGATATTCGCAAAAGCGACCAATTTTTTATGCGGAAGTTGCATGACAATCTAAATTTTGTGCTTTTACCAAAAATGACCCTGAAATTCCGTATTTCAAACTACAGCCAAGCGGAATCAGAAATTGACATTTAAAATAAAAGTATTTTAGAATATGATATTCTGGATTGAAATTTAATAAAACAACATTTTAAAGTACATGGCACTTGAAGTATCTTCCTAGAGAGTATATCATTATCTACGACAAATTATACATAAAAATCTGTTGTTCGAGATAAGTTCCCTTAATTGTGTCCATGAAGAAAGTTTTTTCAGCCTCCCCGTTTACCATTACAACCTTCAAAATTTCTGAAACAACTACGCAGAAGATAACTTTTACCGGTTTAAGCTTTTATTTTTAATACAATACTACTTTACAGTTTGAGTTTCATTAATTGTTGTAAACAATCCCTACCTAAAAGGGAACTGATTTGGAACTATACCCTTAGCCGTTGCCATGGATGAAAAACCACCAAATCTTTCCCTAGCTACAGAGTGGGCAACATAGAGAGTGGGAATCGTTGTCATGGTTTTTAATGAGGATGAATGAATGGCTTGGAGAGGTTGGAAAATTAGCTATTGCACTCGATATGCATAATTCCACTTACATGACATTAGACATGTCTTTTTCAAATGTATACAATGGGTTTTATTGTTGGAATTTTATCATGAATTTGTGAGGAAGGATCGAAAAAATCATTCAATGGAAAGCTTATTCTAGGTGACATGCAAGGCATATATAATGTGTGATTTTGAGGAGAGTTTGGCTGACCTACACCATGCAATTCCGAGTCAACATGAATGACTTAATCGTATTGATCAAGATAAATAGGCATGTGTCTGTTTCCCTCCCTCGAGTGTACTATAATAATATAATGATATCTAATATTGTCGATATTATGTCGAAATTACTGACAAATGAATGAAATGTATCTACAACGACATCAGTTGAAGTTTTCCGTGGCACAATAGAACTCTGATATTCTCAATGTCATAATAGAGAAGGTATATATAAATATCGATATAAATAACTCCTTTTTAGCATTGTATGATGAAAATCATAATATCTTTTATAACGAGACTTTTTGATGAAATCCCAGAGGTTCTCAGACACCCGATTCGATTCGGTTTTGGTGACGTAAGCTACAATCCGATCCGGCTCCAACAGTTTTGACCGTATTTTGGTTTGGTTTTGAATCCGTTTTTGACCTGTTTGGGTATGGACTCTCATTAAAATCGGTTTACAATCAGGAGTAAATTAGATTTTGCATTGGAAATGTTAATCGGTTTGGATCAGGTCTACCGTATTATTTGACCGATTTGAAAAAAAAAACAGTTTGACCAAAACTGACTTTCAAGTCATATTGGCTTCAAAAATGGATCTGGTTTGGCAGATGCAGTGCATCTCTATAAATCACCCCTTATGCACAAATAGTACTTCGAAGGAACGTGGCGCGTTCCAGTAAGCGGTCTCGATCCTCAGTCAGGCGAAGAATGCCAAACGCTCCTCCAAGGAACGCGATGCGTTTATCTGATTAAAGGAATTTTTGGTTGTTGGGCTTGGACTTAACTTTGGTTATGGGCCTTGCTTTTTGGGCCATCTGAGATTTATTATTGGACAATGAATTATTGGGCTTTAGGATAAGGCCTATATGGGGGTTGGGCCTAATTTGGAAAATTGGACCCTTAATGGGCTTTTATGGATCTTATAGTTTTGGGCTTGGGCCTCAGTTTTGGTTTAAGTTGGGTTAGAGGTAAAATGATCATTTTATCCCAAGTATGGATTATGGATCATAGTTTGGAATCCACTTGCTAATTAGGTGTTATCTTAGTATTGATAGCTCGAGAAGTCGTCAAGCATCAACTAAGGATTTCTTTCATTGAACTTCTACATTCGAGGTGAGTTTCCCTTCGTGAATGTTACAGCCTTACGGGTCGAAGGCACCAAGGCCGACCCTTTATTTATTGCATAGTATGATGGTTTTATGTGTGATAATTATCACTGTTCACGTATTGGTTGATGATCATGCGATTTATGTATGTTATAATATGGTAGTGGTAGGGGTGAAATAGACCCCGTAACCGGTTGAAATAGACCGGAATGTAGGTCGACCACCCATATATGCCTGGTAGGGTAGGTCGGACACCGAGGTATGTTGGATCTATATTCCCAAGAATCATTATAGAGTGATATTGTTAACAATATATGATCTTATAGGGTCACACCTTTATCAAGTTGACACATTGTATATTTATTATTGATATGATTATTAATAAATAATACCGATTCTTGTATTTTAATTAGGGAATAATTATTGTTTTGCGAAAATAATAATTTTAAGAGAGTATTACTAGTTATTATATCATATGATATGATACTATGATTTAATAAGTCATGTATAAAGTTTTTGAAACTTTGATTAACCATGATTAAGTTAAAGACTTACTCTACCATGGTTAATAAAGTTGGAGACAATTTTTGTCTCTTTCTTAGCCTTATGGCCGAAAGTTTATGACAATCATGGAATTTGTCTCTTTTATGGCCGAAAGTTTATGACAATCATGGAAGGTTGCTTGTCAACTTTCCTCCCATGCTCCTTATGCTCCTAAAAGCTAGTGAATACTTTATATTATTATATTGTGTTGTTTTTGCTTTTCATAGACTATATAAGAGTGTCTTATGCATGAAAAATTAAGCAAGTTTTGGTCTTCTTTCTTCTCTTGAAGCTCATGGCCGAAACTCTCTCTTCTTTTCTTCCTTTCTCTCTCTTGAAGTTAGTTTGATGGTTTAGAAGACCTCTTGAGTTGTTCCATTTGGTGCTTAATTGAGTTAAGCACTTAAACACTCAAGAATACAAGAAGGAATTAACATTCCAAGTGCCTTACTTATGATGGTGGATACTTGTAGAGAAGATCATATACTTCGATCTTTTGTTATCTTCATCAACACCCTAAAACAAAGTGGGTTCAAAGGCTTCAAAGGCTTCAAAGGTTATCTCTAAAACATCCTATGGTTGGTTTTGTTTCATTCTAACCTCTATAAATGGATTCATGATAGTTTGGTTTTGTTATGAACTAAAAATAAACTTGTTATTTTCAAAATCTTCTGTTGCCGGTTTTTGTGATAAACAAACTTTTATTGCGTATCAAAACCCAACAAGATATGCCTGGTAGGGTAAGTCGGACCCCCATATATGTTCGACAGGGTAGGTCGGACACCCAGATATACCTGACAGTATGTTTGTGTTGTATGTGGTATGGTGGGGGAAACTCACTAAGGTTTGTGCTTATTGTTTCAATTTGTGTTTCAGGTACCTCCGGTTCAAAAGGGAAGCGTCCGACTTGATGGCAACGCACACATCTATGTTTTTCCGTAACTTATGGTTTTTGGAAATCACTGATAATTGTTTTAACTTGGAATACCTTAATGTTTGAACAGATGTAAATGGATGTTTGAATCTATATGTTAAAAAAAAATAAATTTTTTATGCTTAAGTTTTGGGATGTTACAATATGACATTAAACTCAACATATGAACCAATTAACACCTTAAAATACGATATTTGAACACATATATACATTTGTGATTGAGCTTCTCATCTAAGTTTTTGAACATTATCCTAGAGGATTTTAAGGGTTTTTTTTATTTTATTTTATTTTTTAAATGAAGTTAAAATATGAAAATTAAGGTTTTTTGTACGGAAAAATTATTGTCCCGCCTTATATTGTCCGAGAGGACTTTAAGTTTGATTTTTTTAAATGAAGTTAAAATATGAAAATGAAGGTTTCTGTGCGGGAAAATTATTATCCCACCTCATTTACGTAGGATCTGTGAAAATGCATCAAAATGTATCTTTCGTGGGAAAATAATGCATTTCAGTCAAATGCTTAATCTTTGGCAAATCTTGAAACAAATTTATGAGATTAGGCAAAATTTGTATTTTGATATATTAGTTTTTTTTTTTTTTTTTGGTGAGAATAGTAAATCTAGTAAATCTAATCAACTGCTATAAAACTACTCTAATTTCACTTATATATCCAACTCTTAGTTAGAAAAGCAACTAAAGATCTTTCAATTTAATACTTAGTACGTTTTTTTTTTCCCTTTGAATTTAACAAGTAAAATAATTAATCTTCAACTAAAATATTATAGAAATTCGATGGTTTGAAAAATTAATCATTGATAATATTTGCTGGTTGTTAGTTAGTTGCTAATTGCTATAGTAACAAAGAGAGTATAAATTCGAAGAAACATTCTCGCGCCAAAACTGAAATCTCCAAAAATATCCCCCGTCTTCATCCGTGTTCAATGCCAGGAATCAATTTCTCAAATTTTATATAAACAAGTAAAGTAAATCCATGTTGAGATTTGAAT